GCACGAGAGAGAGAGAGAGAGAGAGAGAGAGAGAGAGAGAGAGAGAGAGAGAGAGAGAGAGAGAGAGAGAGAGAGAGAGAATGCTCTTCTGCTGAATGTGGCAGCAATAGACAGCTGAAGAATCATATTCTGCCTTGTGCATTTGAAACGATGAAATCTGATAGCTAGTCCAATCAACCAAAACAGCAATTGGACGGTTTAGGAATGGTAGGTAGATGTATTTGTGAGTGTCTGCTGCTGCAGAAGTCTGCTTTTCCCTGCTGACGCTGTTATCACCTCTTACTTGAAAACCTGGAAATTTGATGTTTTATTGTGAAGGCAAGATGACATTGTAGCATACCTGCAAGCGAACACTGTGCAATCGAAGCAATCGGCAGTGCAACATACTTGCAATCAATCCGTCCAGGGGTCGGTAGCTACTATCTAGAGTATCTGTGCTTGGGGTACCATCGGGAGTGTCTATTGTCCTCAGTCAAGGTCTACCCTGTGAGCTCCCTGTCGACAACACCATGCTGAATCTGGATATCACCAGGAGCCTCCCAATGCATCCCCCTCCTACCTGAAGAGCCTATCTCCATCAAAAAAAAAAAACAAGGAATGGACACCCCATTCCATTGCCATTCAAATTTCAAAAAAAAAAAAAAAAAAAAAAAAAAAAAAAAAAAAAACAGTATAAAGCCTGTGCAACAGACACAACACGATGGTGAAATTTCAAATTTATGGAAAGTAAATGCCGTTGAACAGTTGAAGTAAATAAAGAAGTAATGAGTCAAACAAAAAAAAAAAAAGAAGAGCAAGGACCCAGTAGCTCCTACAGATGTCGGACGTGTTCGAGTATTCTCGAGTATGCCTGCCACAGTGCAGTCGAACTAAAGACACACACAGTCGTCAAACTTCAGCTCCCCTTGGTGGACCTCACCTACCCGAATTTCCAGCTTGGTGCTGCTGCGGAGCAAGTATTAGTGTGAGCACACCCTACCTGGTCTTGCACTTCTTCGTCGTCGTAGAAGACGACAGCGTTGTAGAAGACGACAACGTCGTAGGAGACGACAGCGTTGTAGAAGGCGACAGCGTTGTAGAAGGCGACAGCTGTAACTACTGCTCCCAGAAAGTTGATGCAACTGGTCACTGTGCTTGCACAAGTGCAGCCAGTCAGTCACTATGCTTGCGCAAAAGAAGTGCAGCCAATCAGTCACTATGCTTGCACGAAAAGAAGTGCAGCCAATTGGTCACTATATGCTTGAGGAAAGTGCATGCACTTAGTCACTCTGCTTGCAGAAGTGCAGTCAATTAGTCACTATGCTTCCAAGAGAAAAGTGAGAAAGGGAGTGACCTCAAGGAGCTCGGCCATCATCCTTTCTGATAGTTTTAACAAAATGTCGAAATCCTATACCTATTTATCCTTTCTTACTTCTATTCCAAATTTAATATTTAATATTTATCCTTTCTTCATGACGACTGACGTGCTCATGGGGCTCAACTACGGCTAGTGTCTGAAGTGCCCATCCAACAAGGCTCACTCCACAGTGCTTCAACAAGGGTTGGGTCCTCTTGCCCAGCACTGGTGCCAATGACAACTGCTCACAAGGGTTGTATGCGAAGATAGGTTGATGATGGGCGTATACTTATTTAGACAAACAAAAGAGTTTGTTATTATTAACGGAGAAAAGATTGGACATTCTTCTTGTACGTATGAATTTTTGCTCTACTATTTTTACAGCAAGACAGCTTATAAGTCATAAAAATATTCGTGTTAATAATCAAACTATCCTTCGGCCTAGCTTTCAAGTTTCCAGTGGTGACCCTCTGTGAACTTTGTGTGAAGACGTCGCCGTGGAGGGTGGAGTGCCGGATGATGTGCTCGAGTACTGTTAGTGTCCGAAGTGCCCGTCCGGCAAGGCTCGTTCAACAGTGCTTCAACCAGGACTGTGTTCGCCTGCCCAGTATGAATACCCATGACCACAGTGCACTATCTCGTCTGCCAAGGTACGTTGATGATGGGAGGCGGATATACCTTCTGTGAATTTTGTGTGAAGGCATCACCGTGGAGGGCGGTGAGCGGAGTGAGTGTGAAGTAGGGGTGTGAAATATCCTGAATCGCCTGTGGTGGGCTGGGCTATAGGGTCCACCGCAAGGTGGGGCCTTCCGTGCAGGTGACAGGGTAGTATCACTGGATGCAGAACGGTATGTTCTGAGTGCCAAAGAAGCCTGAGGACTATAGATAGGAGAACAGGGGGTGCAGCAGGATAATATGGAGCTTAGAATGTGAAGGGGGCTTCATGAACGGAGGATTAAAAAAAAAAAAGAGAGAGGAAAGCATGACGAACGGAGGATTAAAAAAAAAAAAAAGAGAGGAAAGCATGACTTGTATTTGGTGCACACACTTTATATGATTCCCCCCTCCCCACCCCCCCTACCCTCTGCATGGTGTTGCAATGGGATGTCCGCTTTCTTTCTTTTGTTTTTGTCCTTTTTTTGCATGGGAAAGGTTCTTCAGATAGGAGGGCGGATGTGCATTGGAGGTCGGTGGTGATATCCGGAAGCTGTTAGGCGGGGGTTTAAGTGATGTATATGATCTCTCTCCACACTTGGGCCAGTGGCCACCCTTCATGGTTAACCTCTTCAAAGTCACAAGGCTAGCTGTCTTGATGGCTGCCTGGAGAATGCGGTGTTTGCACGAACGCAGCGACCTACATACATTCGGCTACATGCAGGCCAGGCCATTGACAGCCGAAACAATAAACTCTTTTTAACACCCATGCGGCCTGGAAAGAGCTCCGACAAGTGCCGCAAAATTAGCTTGACAAGGTCAAACAGGTGGAAATCGCAGCGAACTTCCGCTCCGCGTGGGTTGATAAGGATTCTCAGCTCTGCGAGCTCGATCGACAGAACAACGTACACTGGAGACCCTGGCTAGCCACTGAGAGGCAATGAGAAAGGCTGCCGCATCAGCACTTCACCATCGCCTTCCATCCTACAAACTTTGTGCTCGTCCCTGACCTGATGCAGTCGCATCCCCTGCCCTCCTAAGATGCCCCTCC